AATAACCAACTCTCATTATTTCAAGTAAAAATGGTAGTACATGAAAAAATTGGCTAGTTCAGCTCTCAACTCACCCAGTTGCACAAGTGCTTTACCATGTACTTTGGTGTATAGTAGAAGTGATTCATGTATCACACAGAACACTAAGAAGACACGTATTTGAAAGTTAAACTTTAGGGACTTCTGGCCGAGATGGAGGTGTAGGTAGATACACTTTGCCTCCTTGCACAACCAAAAGGACAACAAATTTAAAAACAAAAAAATAACCAGAACTCCCAGAAAATCAAACCGCATGGAAGTCTTGACAACCAAGTAGTTAAAGAAGAAACATTCATTCGGACCTGTAGAAGGGGTGGAGATGGGCAGCCAGGATGGAGAGGACTCATAGCAAGGCAGCAAATGGGGGACCAGGGCAGGCAAGACAGCAGTTGGCTGACTGTGCAGTCCTGCATTTGGGTGTGGATAAACTGGGAAGAACAACTGGGGAATGAGATAGACTGAGAAACCTAGGGTTCCAGTACAGGGAAATAAAGCCTCAAAACCTCTGACTGTAAAAATCTGTGGGGGCTGAGGCAATGGGAGGAACTCCCAGCCTCACAGGGGAATTGGTTGGAGAGATCCACAGGGTCCTAGAACATGTACAAAATCATCCACCCAGGAATCAGCACCAGAAGTGCCCAGTTTGCGTGTGGGTAGCAGAGGAAGTACCTGAAAGCTAGCCGAGAGCTGAGCAAGCCCCATTACTCCCTCTCAGACCCCTCCCCTAAATACGGCACTGAAACTCAGGGATCTGGGTTGCTCCACCCTGGGGAATACCTAAGGCTCTGCCCTTATTAAGTAACAGGTGCACTGAGACAAAAAAATATATAGCCCAAGTAAAATAACAGATCAAAACCCCAGAAAAAAATACAACTAAGTGATGAAGAGCTAGCCAACCTATCAGATGCACAGTTCAAAACACTGGTAGTCAGGATGCTCACAGAAATGGCTGAGTATGGTCACAATATAGAGGAAGAAGAGAAGGCTATGTAAAGTGAAATAAAGGGAACCAACAGTGAAGGGAAGAAAACTGGGACTCAAATCAATGATTTGGACCTGAAGGAAGAAGTAAGCATTCAACCAGAACAGAATGAAGAAACAAGAATTCAAAGAAATGAGGGGAGGCTTAGGAACCTTGGAACAATTTTAAACATCCCAACATCCGTATCACTGGGGTGCCTGAAGGAGAAGAGGAAGAGCAAGAAATTGAAAACTTACTTGAAAACATAATGAAGGAGAACTTCCCTAATCTGGCAAAAGAAATAGACTTCTGGGAAATCCAGGAAGCTCAGAGAGTCCCAAACAAGGTGGACCCAAGGAAGCACATACCAAGGCACATCATAATTACATTACCCAAGATTAACAACAAGGAGAGAATTTTAAAAGCAGAAAGAGAAAAGGAGAGAGTTACCTACAAAAGAGTTCCCATAAGACTTTCAGCTGATTTCTCGAAAGAAATCTTGCAGACAAGAAAGGGCTGGAAAGAAGTATTCAAAGTCATGAAAGACAAGGACCTACATCCAAGATTACTCTATGCAGCAAAGCTATCATTTAGAATGGAAGGGCAGATAAAGTGCTTCCCAGACAAGATAAAGCTAAAGGAGTTCATCATCACCAAGCCCTTATTATATGAAATGTTAAGGGGACTTATCTAAGAAAAAGAAGATCAAAACTATGAACATTAAATGACAACAAACTCACAACTATCAACAACTGCACCAAAAACCAAAACCAAAACCAAAACCAAACTAAGCAAAGAACTACAACAGGAACAGATTCACAGAAATGGATATCACATGGAGGGTTATCAGTGGGAAGGGGGTGGGGGGAGAATGGGGGGAAAGGTAGAGGGAATAAGAAGCATAAATGGTAGGTACGAAATAGACTGGGGGAAGTTAAGAATAGGATGGGAAATGAAGAAGCCAAAGAACTTATATGTATGACCCATGGACATAAACTGAGGTTGGGGAATGATGGTGGGAGAGGGGTATGGGGCAGAGGGGAATAAAGGGGGGGGAAATGGTACAACTGTAACAGCATAATCAATAAAACATATTAAAAAAGAAAGTTAAACTTTAATAAAATTAATAATCTCTACTGCTTCACCAATGACATTCTATAAATGTTGTCTATAAAACAGGCATTTTTAAACAGTGAATGTGTGGTATTAATAAAATTATTACTTCTACAGTAATTGTTTTTCCCACTATTGCTTTTACATAGTCAGTGCAAATGTTAACATGGTAAGAAAGCAAATAATGTCTTAGTTTTATTATTAGTTGGGAATTGCAGACTGACATCCTGAAAATATCTCAGAGACCCCCAGGTGTCTGCAGACTATACTTTGGGATTAATTCTCCCTATCCTTGCTAGAATGTGAAATGTAAATCCTACAATTCTAGGGTTTGTTTGTTTGTTTGTTTGCCTGATATGCTTTTGGGGCCTAGATCATACCTAGCATATAATAGGCACTCAACAAACATTGTTTAATTAATTAAGTAATTAAGTAATTAATCGTAACTAGATAACAGTGAAGAGCTTATAATATACATTACTGGAAACTCATTTTTAAAAATTTAGTTTTGAATAGGTAAAATATACAACAGGATACATGGTGAAAATCTCCCACTTTGCCTTCCGTAAAGCAACTTAAGTTGCTTTCTCAGAGATAACCACTGTTGTCAGTTTCTTATGTATTTTCCAATGATATTTTGTGGATTCACAAGCATTATATACACAAATATATTCCTTTATTCCTTAATACATATGGTAGTATAGTAAATACAGTATGGATTGCACTGTGCTTTTTAAAAGGTAAACCTTTTCTTTTGGAATAATTTGAGATTTACGGAAATGTTTCAGAGATTCTTGTTACTCTTTTTTTCTACTAATTCCAACAACTGAAATAACCATAGTACCATGTCAAAACCAAGAAATTAACATTGCTACAGTACTATTAACTACATTACAGAACATATTCAGATTTCACTAGTTATGTCCTTTCAGTTCTAAGGTCCAATTCAGGACACCACATCACATTTAGTATATTGCCTTTTTATCCTTAAATTGTTATTTTGAGGGTTGTCTCATATCAGTTAATATGCAGTTGCCTCATTCTCTGGAAGGACTGTAGAGTGACTCCTTGGAAGTGGAATTTCAGGGCCAGTGATTACCAAATTCCTTTCCCTCAAAGAAATTACAGTACCCTTCTAAGTAGTTTCCATGTGGTTTGGGTGTTGCAAAATTTATTTGAAGTTCCAAGATTAAGATTGGGGACTGAATGAAGGTGATAAATGTAAAATATCCAACAAATTTTGCACACTTCAAAGTAATTATTTGTACTGACACAGATACACATAACATTGCATGATTTACACTACACCAATAATTCATTGTGCCCTGACTCACATATGTAGCTGGTTCCTCTTGGGACCACTAGGGGGCTCTGCTGGAAGGATTTTTTTTTTTTTTTAATAATTTATTTTAGCCCATTTAGGGAAAGGTTTCCAAATGATTTAGAATTCTGAACTCTTATAACTTGAAAGAGATAATCTAATCCAGCTTTCTTACTTTGCAGATGAGAAAACCAAGGTTGGCCAAGAGAGCTGGCATGGAGAGGTGGAATCAAAAATCTCCTCTTGGTTCCAGTGGCAGGAGTTCAAGAAATTCTTTTTTGCCATGTGCCTCCACTGAATGATTCACTCAACCCCCTGTGGCTATTTCCTTTTTTGCTGCCACAATCTTAGTACTTTTTGCTAAGACAGTGTATTTGTGATATTTTTCTAGTAGGATACTTTACTGATTGGTTAGGTGAAAGTGGTGCAATGAAATATAAACTTCTAAACAACCTCTACTACTTATTCTAAATGTTCTATTCAAAGTACCTTTCAGCATCAGTACTTACTGCATACTCTAGCAACCACTTTCACATTGTCTTTCAAACTTGCCTTCCACTTAAAACATTTTACTCTTATCTTTACTCATTTATTCATTCAATATTTATTCAGTGTGTGCTAGCGCCAGAAACTGTTGTAGGCCGTAGGCTTATGGCAGTAAAGCTGCCCTTCTCCCCACAAAAGCATCTCTCTATTTTTCACTTTCACATGCCTTAGTTCAGTGGTCCGTATAGTGTGGTCCCTGAACCAACAGCAGGAGAAACAGCATCTGGGAATTTGTTACAAATGCAAATTATTAGGCTCATCCCTCACTCTTGGGATGGGGCCCAACAATACGTTTGTTTGTTCGTTTGTTATTTATAACAAGGTCTCAGTGGGGTCCACGTACAGTGAAGTTTAAAAACTCCGGCTTTAGCTCCACAACTTGGTATTATCTAAGTAGGTCAAAGATCAACAGCTGGCTTTTAAAACCACCCCGGGCATCTCCATGGAGTTCCCGTCTGAAATACACCTACACCTGATGGGACCCAACAATGACCATTCAATGATTTGTAGTACCTGGCATGAGAGTAATAATAGTGTCACTGTAATGGCTTCCGAACAAAAACGGACCGCGGTGGACTTTCCGGGCCTATACCAGCAGAAAACGGGCCGGGCTGAGTTCTGGGACAGTGTTTTCATATGCTAAACACAGCCCAGAACATTAAGCCCATGGGTTTGGGGTCCGGCCGAGTCAGGGCGGTGCTCCAAGCCGAGCGGGTCCGTGTGAACCCGAATGGCCGGACTCCAGCCTTCGCTCAGACGCTAGCCTGAGGCTGGACGCCTTGACCACACCACACACGTTAGAAGGCGGGAGGAGCAAGAGACCAAGGCGGAGGGCGGCGCAGGGTTCGCCAGCGCGGAAGCCGCACCCTCCAGGCCTTAGAAGCCGGCAGGGCGGAGCCACGCGGCCGCAGCTCCCGCGGAGACGCGCGGCGCCGCGCGAGGCTCGCGGCTGAGGCGTCAGGAGGCTACAACGGGAGCGGCTGCGCCGCCCGGTCTAGTCGACGTCGTGCGCATGCGCGGAGCCGGCGCCATTTTGGTGGCCGGGCACTGAGGTGATTCCATACTGAAGAGAGCGCGGAGGCCGGGTGGCAGTGGCAGTGTTCGTGTGCTCGAGTGTGAATCGCCGAGGGAGGAGGCGGTGGAGGAAGAGGTGGCGGCGGTGGCGGTGGTCGTAGCGGTGGCGGAGGAGGCGGGTACGAATCAGCTGCGGGCGGAGACATGGCCAACATCGCGGTGCAGCGAATCAAGCGGGAGTTCAAGGAGGTGCTGAAGAGCGAGGAGGTCAGAAATGAACTCTGGGATATCCCCCACCTCAGCCCAGGGCGGGTGGGGCCTGCCAGCGGCGACTCCCAATATTCCGGATAACCCCCGACTAGCCCTTCTCTCGAGCCGCCCTGATGCCTGTGGGGAAGCAGCAGTCCCCCGCCCCCCCTCCTTCCGCCGCCTTCCCCTCCCCTACGGGGCCCTGGGATGGACGGTCTCGCGGGCGGGTGGTGTGGAGAGGAACACCGTTTGGGGGGCTGAAGCAGAGGGGGGCTCTTGGCGGCGGGATGTGAGTTCTAGGGAGAGCCCCGAGGCAGTGGCACACAGCTGGAAGTGTGGCTGTGGGGTGGGAGAGGGAGCAGGCCGAGCTTGAGAAAACCCGGGAAGTGGGTTGGGGGAAGGGGAAAGGTAACTGGATCCGGAGAGCCGCGGTGCTCAAAGGCCCACACTTCTGAGAGTATTCTGGGTTATAGCCTGTCTGGCCTTCTCTGTCCTTTCCTTAGGGAAGAGACTATGAGCGTTCTCAGGTATTGATGAAAGGAAAAGGACGTTCGGAGTTACTCCCTCTTAGTTGGGTGTTGGGAGAGAAGAGCGGACATAATGGGATACTGTCTTATTTGAGTGGGGGGGATAAGGGAATTTTCACCCGAGATGGGATATTCCATACTGTACCACTGTCTCATTTTCATTTACCCCCAATTCCTAGGCCTCTTCTGACACCTAAAGCTTTTGCCTGGTTGAAGGCAGAAGTTGGGTGTATTGAAGGCATTTAAATATTTTTAGCTAAGAAAAAATAATGGAGTGCATGAGAAGCTTATTTCAAAATGTTACAAGTCACAGAAGTTGCAGATCAGAGAGCCTCTCCTAAGACAATGCCTCTGTGACCATTGTGGCATGAAACTTCATTATGATGTGTCCTTCAATAGTCAAGTTGATTTTTGCTTTTGAGAAACAGCCCTATTAAAGACATGGGATTTCACCAGATTAACAGATTCTTATACCTCCTTTTTAAGTGAGTAGGTGTATCATAACATACCTGAATTGATTAAAATTTTTGTCTCAGGCTGCTCTTGAGTCTTGAAGAATTTAGATATTCTAGTGTTGCCCACATATATTTCTGTAAGGTATAGAAATAATGTTCGAAATGCTCTAGTAACTTGACTCAAAACTATGCAGGTATCAGTGCAACTTTTCCATACCCAAATAAAGAATGCCAGGTTGTTTTTCCTCCTTGGATTTAACAAATAAAGATTTAAAAGCAATACTGCGATGGCTGTTATTTTCAAGACGTTACATACCATTATTGAATGTATCATTGCTGTTTGTATTTTTCTCTTAATGTTGGTACTTTTTTTTTTAAGATTTCGTTTGTTTATTTTTAGAGAGATGGGAAGGGAGGGAGAAAGAAAGGGAGAGAAACATAGATGTGAGAGAAAAACGTTAACCCGTTGCCTCTTATACGCACCTGGATCAGACCAGAACCCACAACCCAGGCTTGTACCCTCACTGGGAATCGAACCGGCAACCTTTCCGGTTTTTGAAGGACGCCCAACCGAACCACACTGGTCAGGGCTGTTATGTTGGTACTTTGAATATCTCAGTGACTTATGAAATTCAGCTTTCTAAGTATGTAATGAGTAATTGAAATACTCTATCTGGTAGCACTTGTGCTTTATGCCACTGAGTCTATAGTGGGTGGTTATGAATCTTTCCAGTTAGACGTGGAGAAAATAGTTTTAAAATATTAACAAATGGCAAATACTAGCAGATTTATTGACTATAGTAGTATATAGTAATGATCGGTTTTACAGAGCATGTGTATGAACTCTGACCTCTGTACAAGTGCCAATATTCTGAATGGAAGGATGACTTTGTATTTTTGTGATACAGTGTAGAAATAATCATAAATTTCTGTACTGATATGCAGTAAACCACTGACTTTATTTTTTTATTTAATAAAATATATTCCAGAATAGTTGACATATATTCATAATGAAACATTGCAGCTAATATTTTTGCCAACAGCCCAAAACATTTCTTCTATAATAAGGTTGTTCAAGCCTGGAACTTAATACAAAACTTGTAATGTAATGCATTCTGTTACTTAAAAGTGGTAAGTTGGGAATCTTGTAATTCATATGATTTCTGCTTTATATGCAATGACTTTCACCATGATATTCTTAGTCAGATAATTTAATTTTGGAATATAACGAATGAATAGCTTTATTTGCACCCATATTTTATCTCATCCTCATTTTAATAGGGTCAGTTCTATAAGTGCATTATTTTCATCTCATTGAAGGACTTGTAGTACAGCCCATGTGTTTTCTTTTTAAGTGTGTAAATGTAATGTCTTCAGTGGCTGATCAAGAAATCAACTTTTGCATTTTGTCACCTATGTAAATTCCCAGTTTGCCAAAGTTTAGGTTTCTTAGCGGTGGTTTTTGGTAAGAGAATACTGGTTGATTTAAGAATTTTGTTTTGGCTTTTTAAAAGTTCCTTCTTAAATATTGCTAATGTTTGCTGAATTCTGGCCATGAGAGGTTATACATGGTCATTCTTGGACTCTGTGGTTAATTAAAATATAACCTCCAAGATAAAGCAAATGTAAAAGGCAAGGTGTGGAGGAAGGCACCATTTGTATCAGAAGGGGGAAGTGTGTATATAAATAGGCGAAAGGATTAATGAGAAATTGGTAAGATTGATTACCTACTTCTGTGTAGGGTAATTAGGTGTCTGGGGCACCAGGCATCAAAAGATCCCTTTTGAATTTTGAGTCATGTGAACATGTTATTTACTCAAAATAAAAAAGGAGGGCATTGTCTAGGCCTTTTTTTCCTTGAGACTGTTTGGAAAGTCATCTTTTATCTGTCAGATAATTAATTTTTAAATCTGAGTGAGAATTTTAAGTAATGTTTCAAAGTTGTTAGGAATGGAAAATTGCTTTAAAATACATTCTGTAGTTATTTTGTGAGTCAAATTACATAAGTTAATTGTTGATTGTGAGGACTTAATAATCTGTATTTATGGGTTATTATTTACTACAGTTAATCGTTAACACTATTTGTAGAGTGGCTCTCAGTACTATTTATACATTTTTGCTAATTCTCAAGAACAGGTATATAAGTTAAATTTCCTATTTCTTAGATGGGAAAATTGAGATTTAGAGAAGTTAAATTACTTGTCTGCATATAGCTTTGGATCTAGGTCTGCTTATGTTTATATTGTACTACAGTGTCAAGACTTGACAAGGATAAAGTCGTGCTTTTAATTTTTTAAAAGTAATTGATCCTGGTTTGTATTACTGGTTAAAGGATTTAAACACAACCTAATTTGTTAGTTTAAACATTAAAATAAGTGTTACCTGTAATTAACTTAAAAATTTACTTGCATTTCAGTATGCAAAATTATTTTAAAATTGAAAGCTCAGTGAGGTAAAATGCCCTCAAATCAGTGTTTTGTGGTACCTGTAGTTTGTTTCATACTGTAGCTACACTTTGCTAACCTTTTCTGGGGTTCTTACAGGGAGTATTTACATCTATGGCATTAACAAATTGATTTCATGAATACTATTATTGTATAAGTTTTCCTTAAGCACTTTAATGGGTTTTTGTATCTGTTGTCATCTGATATATATTTAATCTAGCTTGATCTAGATTATTTTAGATAGCAGCACAGCCAGGCTTCCCCCTACACCTCCCTACCCTCTCTTTCACTAATTGGACCAATTAAAAATGTCTACACTGCAAATATTGAGAACCACTGCTGTAGACAGTTTAAGACTTTCTTTATAAATTAATGGTTATCTTTTTCTTTTGAACTTTCCTTTTTGATTTAAAGAAAAATGTGAAATACTGGTAAAAAAAACAACTTAACCAGTATTTGCGGTTTTGGGGTAGAAAAACTGTTTCTTTCTCTTTTTTAAAAAAACTAGAATGGTTTGTGTGTAAGCAAAAACTGAAAAGAGCTGCAGTGACCAAGGGGCCTGGGTTTAAAAATCTTAAGAGATCTAGATTTTATCAGACCCATAAACAAAATTTGAAAAAGCATAAAATAGCAGCTCCCAGTAACTTCTTCAAGTTTATCTTCTTCAGAAGGTAACTCAACTCAGTTTATTTTTGGAAGCCTCATCAAAATTCTCCACAAGATCTAGAACTTCATCATCTGGTGGCACTAGCAGTGCTTTTCCATCTGCAGGTTGTTTGGGTAGAGAGAGCTTCAGCCAGTCTCCTTAAACTAGTCATAGACTGTCTGCCTAGTCTGGTTTAAAATGCTGGGTAGCATTTCTGTCAGCTGCTTTGTCTCAGCATGGCCAGTAATTGTGAAAGTGTTTGCTGCTATAGATTCCTGAACTTTAGGGTTTTTAAAATGGATCACTGTCCTTGGTTTGTGAACATGTTTACTTCTTCATTACCAGAGATACTACTTACCCCTAACTTCTTTAAGGAGCACTGAAGTTTTTTAATCATCTCCTGTAGCTATCCTGTGAACCACCTTCTTTCTCAAGCAGTTCCTTTCCCACCAGTGTGCACTTGTGCATGCAGTTTTGAAAGCTTCTCTTGGTTTATGATAGTTCTTTCATCTTGGAGAGGAAATGGTTCCACATGGTGGACTAGGGTTGGTGCTCAGGAGGTTTCAGGCAGACAAGCTGAGAATAAGTGCACACAAGTGAGGATGCAAGATGGCAACTTAGTTTCTTTGTTTTTAATCACTTGCTTAAAAAATGTGCCTTTTGGGGGTTCTGGGTGTGTGTTGAACAAGGTAAGCTTATAGATTGGTAAAAAATTAAAACTTCAAAGCCTGTCTAAGTAATACTTTTTGGGGTGCATTTCTTCTTTTGCTTCACTTTTACAAAGACTTTCATCTCTACCAGGCATAGATTTAGATACTTCTGGGGTCCCCTAGTATGTCACTCTTTCTAAAGAATATATATATATATGTAATTTTTCTTAAGATTTATTTTTAGAGGGGAAGGGAAGGAGAAAGAAAGAGAGGGAGAGAAACATCAATGTGTGGTT